AGAATTGAAATGCGTAATGACAAAGTTCAGGTTGCCACCACTGTGCCCGATATCAGCTTAGTCCCGTCACCTGATCTAGAAGTATGGCTTAGTATTAACGAGCTGCACACAGCCATAACTTCGACTCCTTGACCACACGTAAATCACGGCTTTCCGAGGGCAAATGTGACTGCAGGAGTCGCAGCGATTACGCCGTATCTCGAAACCAGGAGAAAAGGGAACCACGTGACAGTTCGATCGTCGAATCCGACCATCTTCACTGCGGGCAAACCACAGTAAACACGTCTTCGACTGCGTTCCTACTCGCCCTCACGGCAGCCAAGGTCTGCTACACCCGCCTCCGTATGATAGATTAACCATCCCTTCTACCCAACCAGAGTTTTTGATGACGGAGCAGCCCGCCACGCTACTCCAACTTCTCCTCGCCCATAAATTGAGGCCAACACTGGACCTCCTTGGTACTGCTCCTTCTATCAAGTCCACCTACGCTGCCGCGACTGTTCTGTGCGTTGTAGCTCCTGCAATGCTTGGTGCCACCTTCACTGCAGTGGGCTTGCCAGCTCTGACGATTGGTTGCCCGCCTACACCTCCCCTAGTTGTCCCATGCATATACGTGCCCTTCATGTCTTTCACACAAATGCTCAAGTCACTCAACTGGCCAGGCTCTCTAGCCTTAAGTGTCTACAGTTCAACGCTTACGGCCAACTCGGCAAGCTTGACCAGCTCCTCGCATTCATGCGGTCGCACAGCATAGCTGTAGCAGTTATCCCAGAGAGGAAGTGGTCTAACTTCACCAAGGTCCCTTCCTGTGCTGACTACACGATTGTCTGTCGCGACCGCTGTCGCAACAAAGGCGGAGGTTTGGCCTTCTTTGTGGACAAATACATTGCTTACCATCAGCTAGCACCGCTTGGTGCCGCCCTTACGGAAGTACTGGTAATTTCTCCCGACACTGGACCGGCGGCGTTAACCGTCGTGAGCGTCTACATTCCTCCAACTTCCAGTTGTCCTCCCAGGTTCACCGCCTCCATCGCTCCCTATTTACTTTCGCGAGAGTTGTGGTGCTCTAACTTGGCGGCCGATCCCAGGGTAGAAGTCTTGTCTAATGGATTAGAAGACGCCCGCTTCGCCGGCCTCAACGAGAACAGCCAAACGCGGCCCCCGACTAACGGTGCCTCCAGCTCGTCCAATGTTTCGCTCGCTAGTCTCAGACTGGTAGCCAACACCGAGCCGAGCACAAAAATCAGCTTGGGTAGCGATTAACTGCCCATTGTGCTCGAATTGGCCAACGCAGTCGACCGTATCAAAGCTCCAAACAGGCGTTTTATCAATTTCAAGCGACCCGATCGAGTAGCGTTCACCAACGATTGCAAAGCCAAGATCGATGGTCTATCGCTGCTCGTTTGTGTCTACACGGCAAAGCGGGCCTTTTGTCACCTGCTTCTGGCAGCAGCAGGTTACCACATACCGAACGGCCGCATTCCTCTAGTTCGCCCAAAATTTCTCCCCGTAACAAGAGAGAGACGACATACGACTGCGTGATGCCAATGACTCGCGAGTCGGCGAATTGAATGGCTTGATCACAAAGACCGTCAATGAAGATAAACGCCAACGCTGGCATGAACGAGTTGTAGGTTGTAATTTTCGCAGCAACTCAACTGCCACCTGTAAACTTCGTCACCATCTGACCAAGCCCCGGTCTAACACACTTAATCAATCTATTGGCTTCGGGGACAGCATCTTTATTTCGAACAACGGTCAGATTGTCGCGAAGACGAACAAACTCTTCTCGCCCCGCTCGGTGTCCAGCACCCAAAGCCAGCACTCGCCAGTTCCCCTCCTCCATAAAGCTCCTTCTCCGGAAATTTCCTTCTCGGTCCATGTTATCCTCACCGCCACAATTTAACGAAAGCTTCCAAATCCTTAGGAGCAGATGGCCTGGTATCTATCCTTCTGCGCCATATAGGCCCTAAGGCGGCTGCCAGGCGGGCTGCCATTCTCAACGTTTCTCTGGCTAGTTTAGTCATCTCCGAAGGCTGGCGCCAGTCCATCATTATCTCAATGGACAGGGCTGGCAGGGACCCCAGTATAGCAACCTCCAATGGCCCTTCTTAGTCCACTGGCGAAGATTCTTGAACGACTCCTCCACCCAATTCTGACGTCTGCAGCGGAT